AACTGTCTTTGCTTGACCGCAAATGATTGCAAGACAGTATAAATTCCCAGGAAGCCAATGCCGTATTGATTAACTAAATCTCTAAATTCCTCTTGGTAGCCTCAGTCCATCACATGGACTGAGTGACGACATTCCTGTCGCCATGAGGTACGGACATCGATAAATCCATCGATACCGAAAGATAAATTATGTTGTGCAACACCTGATAAACTGATAAACTTTAAGCACACCACATTTGAAATGAACTAATCTAAAAACTGAATAAGCGAATTTGGTACACAAATATAAGCAACGCTTGCTATAAATCTAATCGTTTCCATCAGAATCAAAATTTCCGGTAGAAAGGTTAATGCTATGAAACTGTATCTCGACGCAATGTCGTCCGTCCATCACAGATTTATTGATAAGAAGCTTTGCCCGTGGTATCGACAAAAAAAAAATACCAACTAGATTTCCACTAATCCCCGCCGCCGAGTTTGCAAACGTTACGCGAGACAATCAGTTAGTCGCAAGCCACGGGATAGAAGCCCTAATAGCATTGACGATTGAAAGCAAAAATCTATAAATACAAATAGACCGCGCGTTTTCCATTAATTACAACCGCAAATTAGCATCCGTAATCGCCGAGTGCAATCACGACAACAATCGCGCTCCCAACAGTCGACGGCACGGCACGATGCGAACAACTCAATACAAAATCAATAACGAAGCTGGTCTAGTAAATAGATATAGGAGGTCTGCATCATTACAGGTTACAAGCACACATCTTCTGCTTGAGCACTGCTGCTGCTGCTATCTCATTGGAAAGTCACCGCACGTTGTTGTTTGACTCATCTATGTTTGCAAAATTGGCTTGCCTAGGTCGGCTGCTACAATCCAAATAGGTAGGTATGTCACCACTCATTTTGCCGCTGTTGATGCTCTTCATAAAGTGTGCGTTATCAATCGTAGCAGGCAATCAAAGTCAAAATTTATGGCTGGCTGGTTACTGCGATGAATGGCACGTATGGTCAGGTGGGGCAAAGTGGGTCACCTAAGGGCCGATCAATGAATGAATAATTGCTGAACTTTGATCTCTCTAGAAATTGTTTAGGTAGGTATCAAGAATTCGTTTGAAAAACATACCCTATTTAGGGGAAATGCAGGTAATGTCGACCTCAGTGTCCCTAATTTGGGCCCATACATAAATTCAGCAATCAACTAAATTTTCAATAGCAACCAATAATATCTATTAGCAACGTCCCAATAACGCGTTCATCTAGATAAAATTGATAAATAGCATTTTTTTTTACTTTATTAAAGAGATTTTTAGCCATAGGCTAGTTCATCTCTTAGATAAATAGCAGACTTTTACCGATGGGCCCAAATTAGGGACATGTAGGCCGACATTACATACATTTCCCCTATTTCTTCTACGTTGTGATGCCATTTCTACGATTTTTTTTTTGTCATTTACGGATTTGATCAATTTACTTATTTCGCGTATGAAATCTACGGAATTTAATTACGAATAGAAATTCCGTGAAACTAGCACCACTGATTCATTACCTGCAACTGCCTGTTATGCTTGCAAGTGTTCAAAGGCTAAAATCGAATGTCCTAAATGGAGTTATGTATTTGTTGAATAGTGCTTCTCTGATTTTTGTTGTGGTTGAATAATGCTTAGTGATCGCAATACTCTCCACAATCGAAACGTTTGTCCGTTTGGATCCACATTGTTACAGTTCGTTTGGCTCAGTAGGATTCGTCTTCGCCAGTCCACTAGTGTTGGTGAGTTATTTGCCATTAATGTTCATGAAAAGTTCACTATTTTGCCATAATCAGTGCCAAAACAAAAAAGTTTACGGGTGGATTTGGACAGATTTGGACCTGTTTCATACGACCGCAAGGTGTATGCTGGTCACAAATGCCTTGCCAAATTTATTGCCTGCGCAAGTGATGTGAATTTCACAAATAAACGCGTGCCGTTCATCGCAAGTCGGTCCCATTTGCGTTTTTATCAAAACTGATTTTTCAATAGAGTCACCCATATTGTCATAATACTAAATGATTCGTTCTGGAAAAGTTTGGAAAAATTGACAAACGGGTTGTCCCATTACATACAAAACAATGGTGTTAAGCAAATTTTAAACGCGTTTTTCTCGACTTGCTGATTTGTGCTATGGGACCAAGGGGTTGATCACTCTGCACAGTGTGCCAAAAATACAGATGGACAAACACAGAGACACTTTCATTGGCACCCATGATAAGAAATGTTCATGATATTTAAAGTTACTGGCAACACTGTACTATATCTGCGCCTGCTTTGTGTTTGTGCCAAAATGTGAATTTCCGGCGAAGTTCTGCCATGGATTCCTCACAGCGCACATTAGGATAAGCGAGGTCATCAAGGCGATGACCGTTGCCAAGTACAACTGTAATCTGGGGGTAATACTGAAATTCATCCGAATGGTGCTGGAGTCGCTACCGACTTCGAGATCGATAAACCTCCACTCAAGACGATCGAACTGTTTAAGGATCTGGTGCGGAAGGCTTTGGTGTTTCAGAACAGTTTGATCGAAGTTGGGCAGGGGGTGGCATCGTTCCGGCAGCTGATTGAAAAGATGACCATGAAGGGACTGCCACTGGTCATAATGCCGATTCGGAATGTGATTAGTGAGTTTGTTAGTGGGGAGAGCGATACCCTGAAGGAGGAAGTGAAAGGAGCGTTGAAGACGTTGGTAGATCGATTTGGGGCGGGGAGATTCGTGACGGAGCTGAAATCACAGCCGAAGGAGGTTAAGTGATATTGTAAGATGTTGATTGGTCAGTTGTTGGGCTTGAAGGTGAGCTCCTGAAAGTCGACAACGGTGAGTTGGTTGAAGGATAGGTTAAGCTCTCAGACACGACCCTGGTAACCCAGCGCTTGAAGAAGTCCCGGCGAAGTGTAGAGTGACCGGTGTTTTCCATGGTGCCCAGCGATTGGAGCAGTTCAGTAAGCATTTCAACATCGCGATGTTTGCAATAATCCTTGTAAAACTGATCTAACGCAGCTTATCGAACTCTATGAGGTACTAATTGATTATGGAATCCGATCCACATAGAAGGTCGTAAGGGGATCGGTGTCCATACAAAGGCTACCATCTGGGCGTAGTAGTTTCATCAATGGTCATTTGCCATGTTTGATTCCGTAACGCTTCACCACTTCGTTGAACAGCCAACCGACATTCATTTCCTTGATTCGTTCCTCATCGTAACTGACATCGATGAATTCGCTTTCGATGATCACTCGAACCATGTTCGGAGGTAGAATCTTCACCGGTATTTGTTTTCCTACCATCGACAGCGCCCCAGATTTTCTCCAGATACATCATACTTCTCTCCATTTGTCCGATCATTGGACTATTTTACCGTGTGGACATATTAAACCCCACCTCCAAGTCTGATTCCGGTTGAAGTTATTGTCCTGTCGGAAAATTGAAGTGCCTCCCCCGGACAATGTTCTCGTTGGAAGCTTCGATTCGGTGGCTGAGGCCGTTGCTTATTAGGTTCAGTGTAGTCCTATTTTTAATTTACCAAAGTTTACATAAGAATAACATTTAATGTACCGTAAGCGTGATAATGTTTGCACCATCTTACAAATAAGGTTCCCGTTTCACCTGTTCATACAACGCCTTGGTTTTCTTTGCATGCACGTAACCCATAGCTCATACCGTAGTAGGCTGTGTATAAAAGAAAATGATTTACTTAGTTTGACAGTTGCACCATGACAAAGTGGCAGCGTATTCGTGATTTGTCCCACGCGCAAATGTCGCAAAAAGACATCTCAATCGCCGTGGGAGTGTCCCGGTGGACCGTCAAAAGGGTTTTAGACCGAGAAAAGAAAGGACAACTATCCGCGAAGGTGGCCACAGGTCGTCCAAGGTCAGCTCGGGTTCCGAAGGTTATCGCTACTATCAAAAGGAAGATTCGGGTGAATCCAGTGCGTTCAATAAGGAAAATGGCAAAGGAACACGGGATCAGTGACTTTACGGCACGGAAGATCGTAAAGGAAGATTGCGGGGCGAAGTCGAGGGCACGGAAAAAAAACTCACACCATTACCAACCGCATCCGGGAGCTACGAGTCGAACGATGCAAGAAAAGCGAAAAAATCCGGTAATCCTGTTCACCGACGAGAGCATGTTTACCGTCGATCCCGTATCAAATCCCAGAACCGACCGATATATTAGTTCTCTTCCGGTAAAAGACATGGCCGACGAGCACAAGAACGTATATCTGACCAAGCATCCTGCTAGCATTATGGTGTTTGGATTGGTGGCTTCCGATGGTAAAAAAAATGGACCCGGTGTTCATTCCAGAAGGCGACAAGGTCAACACGGAGGTCTACATCGGGATTTTTAATAAGTATGTTCTTCCGTGGATCAAAGAACAGTACGGTCCGAAGCCAAATGTTGTATTTCAACCAGATGGGGCTCCGTGCCACACCTCGAACCGCACTCAGATTTTTTTTTTAAATTTTGTCATTGCTTAATGGTGCAAACATTATCACGCATACGGTAATGAAATTTTTCATACAAGATATGCATAAAAATGTATTCTGCAAATTCCAATTCAGAAGGCACCCCATATTACAGCCCTGTCTTTGGCAGCACTGCTCTAAAACAAGACGATAGCAACGCCGCTTGATCGCTTGTAATTAGCGCTACGCCCCTCTCTCATTAGTCATTCCCGATCAGTTACAGGCGACAATCGCAAATGACCACTAGGTATTTACCAACTTTCGGAAGTATACCATCGCAATTCACACATTATCAATTTACCGACGATAATGATTTGCACCGATGCGATGTCTCATCACTCTCATAAATGCCACTTCCACATTATCGATTTCCTGATTTCGGGTACAGTTTACTGCTGGGCTGGACTGGAATTTCCCCGGAACTTGCCTTAACCAATTTATTATACCTTGCCAACAAAACCGCGTTTGACCGAGTTCTCCTTGGACAATTCAATTACATACCTTGAGGAATGCAAATGGTCTTCCAACCAAAATATTCTGACGGTGACGGTGACGGTGATGAATCCCCACTTCCAAGATGTTCAGAGAAAATTTCACTCCCTCTTTTGCACACAAAACACACTCGACACTACTACGCGACCGTCCTTCTTTGTGCGCTGGCTACCGAAGACTGACAGTCGAGCCGAGCCGAATGTGAAACGAAACCGAACAGCAGCTTTGGCGTTTACGATAGTGGTGTTTTTGTTTGCGGTTTTACGTGAGAAAGTGAAGGAAAGAAGATTTCTGGCTTTTTTTTAACACAAGTTGTGGAAAAATACCGTTGGAGTAAAGAGAGTTTTCCTGGTCATGACAGCCGTCAATGCTTTGTTGGTGTTTATTTTAATTTTTTTCGTATATAGAGTGACCAGGACAAAGGTTTCTAATGAACGGTAGGAACTATACAATGTTTGACAGCACAAATCAAGGCCAACAATTGAAAAAGCCTCAGCAGCTTTTGGATACAAAACTTCTTGTGCACGCTAACTTGCAAGTACCCATTTAATGAGTATCTTATACTCTTTTTTGGAATCCATACTAAGTTGTCAAAAAATGGGTATTTTCAAAAAATGAAAAATGGTTACTTTTTATTCACTTTAAAAAATGTCTTTTGGAATAAAAATGGGTAAACACATTATTATTATTTAGCATTTTGGTGACATGTCGAAAAAAATCACGGATCAAGACGAACGCGAAGGAAGCTCGAACGGAAGTTTGACTGTGCTAGCAGATTCCATCTGGCCGGTGTTAATTCAGGTGAAAAAAATGTTCATGCAAATAGTGCCCCGGACAGACATCTCTTTATTGCAGCAGCACGACGAAAAACAGCAAACCGAGGTGATTTTCACGAGGTAAGAGCTAGAAGTGGTATGAGTTCCATTCTCAGTTCCGTTCCAGGTTAGCGGAATAAAAGTACAGGAGATTGACGTTAGCTTCTAATAGTGGAGACTGGCGAGTGAATGTCCAGTACTGAGTTTCAACAAATTTTACAGGGTGGCCGTGGAACCAGTGGAATTCCATCGAATATCAGGATGGTTCAGTAATGGAAGACGGTGACTTGTTTTGAAATTCGAACAGCCGGAACCGAGGCCAGAACAGCCTCTTCTCGCTAAAGGGTGACAGTTTACAACCTTTTACACATATTTGATTATATGAGTGTTAAACATAAAACAATTTAAAAGATTCTTATTCGTTTTTCTTTTGACTACTTTTCATATTCGGTTAAATAATAGACAGCAGGAAGCCCATAAAGTAAATTTGTTGAAAAAATGGGTATTTTTTATTCATCCCCAGCAAGAACATGAAGGTTAAAAAGTACCCATTTTTTGAAGTATGCGTCAAATACTCATTAATGAGTATTATTGGGTTTACTCATTTAATGAGTTAAGCCACTTTTCTTCAAAATGGGTCTTTTTTTACCCATTAATGGGTACTTTCAAGTTAGCGTGTGCACTCATACCACTTCTAGCTCTTACCTCGTGAAAATCACCTCGGTTTGCTGTTTTTCGTCGTGCTGCTGCAATAAAGAGATGTCTGTCCGGGGCACTATTTGCATGAACATTTTTTTCACCTGAATTAACACCGGCCAGATGGAATCTGCTAGCACAGTCAAACTTCCGTTCGAGCTTCCTTCGCGTTCGTCTTGATCCGTGATTTTTTTCGACATGTCACCAAAATGCTAAATAATAATAATGTGTTTACCCATTTTTATTCCAAAAGACATTTTTTAAAGTGAATAAAAAGTAACCATTTTTCATTTTTTGAAAATACCCATTTTTTGACAACTTAGTATGGATTCCAAAAAAGAGTATAAGATACTCATTAAATGGGTACTTGCAAGTTAGCGTGTGGCCTTTTCTCGATTACTTTTTAAAAGGGACGTATCAGCTTTTGTAAACGATGCATATGATCGTCGATTTGGCTTGACTGATAGCTCGCCCACACATACTAACACCACTAGCAGCTAAGGGAAATTCCCCATAATAAAATTGTTATGGCTATTTTGCTAGGGGCACGCAATAACCTTTAACTCCAACGCAGGCAACTGCTGTAATTAAATTAATTCCTGCTTTAATTACATTAATTACACAATGTAGAACATTAACTACTTTTTAACTCCATTAATTACAGTTGAAGTTTCGAAATTAATACCCCGTTCACATTACAGCCTATATCACGTAATATAGGCTGTCTTGCAATGAACACTCATACATAGGATTTCCAGTGAAAACTGAATGTATGAGTGCTCATTGCAAGGCAGCGTATATCACGTGATATACACGGAACCAAATTTTGTTCATTTAAGTTAAAAATATATATGTTTATTAAATAAAAATATAAATAGTTCAAAGTAAATTAAAAACATGTTTTCAACAAAAATATGTTTGCTTAAATTAAATTCAAAAGCATGTTTATTTCAACAATACATAATCATATACATTTTTAGCGTGTCCTTTTTTCCTTCTTGTTTACATTCGGCGAACTTAACCGAAAACGGCCTGCAAGCGGCGAAACCGAAGTAGAGGGTCCGGAAACCCACGCAAGCAAGTGTTCCAAGCTCGACAAAACCGGTGGAACATCACAATATTAACGTCAATCCGTCGTTTCTGATGCCGATCCCCATATCATCCTCACCCCCCACCCGACGTCGAAAGAAAAACAGATCATCCCCGAATACTAAACATAGAAAGAGGCCGGTATGAGGACCAATGTCAGAAACGACAAAATGACGCTAATATCACAAAGTTTCACCGGTTTTACTGAACTGGATCGGATCGGACACCCACCCCGACGGCCCCCCGGATCCAAACATCCACAGACTTTCCATAATCGCAGGAATTTCCATTTATTTGCTATCCATTTTATTTTGATTTATCCAGCATTCAAATGCTAAAATTATTTCAAAATATGTTTGTTTATTTTAAACATGAAAAGCATGTTTAAAATAAACATATTAATTTTTGATCGCATATAGTTTTCAAATAAATCAAAAATATTCACGTTTATTTTCAACACGAATATTTTTAAAATAAACGTAACATTATTTTTGTTTTAAACATTATTATCAGTGGATTCAAACATAGAATACGTTTGAAATCAACCTAGTTTATGTTTGTGGCCAGAACAAACTGAGTTTACGTTTAAATTTACCTCAAATATTTTTGTTTCGACGGTAAATTTTTCTGCGTGTAAGCTGTAATGTGAACGTACATCAATTACATTTTCTACACTTTTAATAACATTAATTACGGATAGATAATTTTAATTACCGTCAGTACTACTTCAAAACGCATTAATTACTTTAAGTACTTTTGATTGCATTTTAACTTCAACGCCCCGGTTCTTTGTATTGCGTGCCCCTCGGGCTCGATGGATATTCTTGTTTGTTTATGGTTGTTTTTAATGTGTTAATCAAAAATGATGTGCAAGGTGCTAAACTGCGGTAGAAACTTCGAATCTAATTAAAATGCAAATGGAAGAATCATTCTGCAATCCAATCATTCTGCAATCCTGGCATCATTGGTCAACTCCGCCAAACACCATGCACTAATTATCGACGGGCATTCATCAAAAACATTAAGACTGGATTGTCAAGTCCCGTCCCGGGGTTAACCCATTTAATGGGCAAAAATATGATCCATGAATGGGTAACTAATACCCATTAATGATTAATTGGTACCCATAAGTGGGTAAACGTTACTCATTAATGTGTTTTTTTTTACCCATTAAATGGGTTAACCTACTTTACTTCAAAATGGGTGAAATTGTATTTATTAATGGGTACTATAATCAAAGAAGAATACTAAGATGAAACACTCGGAAGAAAAACTTTCTATTTTAGTGTCCTCTTTCACGGTCCCTTTCATTCAATGAATACGGTATTCAAGGTAATTTTGTGGTTTTGCTGCCCCCTCGGTACAGAGATGAAATATGCGCTCTTTTTGATCAAAACAATCACACCAAAATTAGAGATGTCGCATTTTTTAATTACTCGATTAACAACTAATCCAATGGGGACAACTCTATCTACGATGCAGAAAAGATTGTGTTTTGCTGTGGCTAGCTGCAGGCACGCTGAGTAGATAGATTGAAGATTTATATCGATTTTGAAGATTTCCTGCAAAAAGATGAAGCACGATGCGAGAAATTAAAGATGATTTTTTGAAGATTGATTCGCTAGTGTGAGATTTTTTGAGCATCTAGAATTGAGATTTAGATGTGTCACCCCCCTCGAACTAATCTATTATTTTTTGTTCGCTATGCTGCCATTTTTCCCCCAATGAGAGTGAAGCACATGTTTGAAACGATCGGTGATGATCCTCTGGAGATGTTAATGCTTATATCAGCATGATATAACCGATTACAAATATTTTACTTTTCGGTTCGTTAATCGATTAATCGATTATTCGAATGAAAATCGGCCATCACTAGTGGTGGTAAGCTCCAACCGGTATTATCCTCGGATTAAATCCCGATCAAGAATGTCCGGCTGGTTTGATGTCGACATCAGAGTTAATCAACATAACTCTGAGCAAACATTTTTCAGATCATACAAACAGGGACGGTATTAAAAGTTAATCCGAGTTGGAGCTTACCGCCATAGATGAATGTGAAAAGTCATTTCAAATTTATGGTCTTAAGCCTGGTACGCAGCTGAAAAGAAAACGGAAAAGTAATTTTTGAGGAATATTCCCAAAAGTAAATTTGACAGCTATAGGGAGGTGTCTTTTGCTAAATTTTGAGATCATAGGTAGGTGTCGTCTAATTTTAAAATCAACAATTATCAATTTTTATGTTGTTAAAATGCATCCAAAACATCATTTTTACAACAAACGTTAAAATTACCTAACGGAATAATTGGTCAGACCATTATTCCGCAAGGAAAATGAAATTGCATTCAGAATGCGCCACCTTCATGTCGATGACGATACTAATGTAATCGATCTTTCCTTTACCGATTTCTTTTGAACTGTGTACTGGGTCAAGAAATGCTAATTAAAAGAAATTTCTTTAGCATTCCGTGTCCTCTATCCCGTAGCACGTAAAAACGTCATTACTTTTCAGCTGCGTACCAGGCTTTACATAAATAATTATACAATTTGAAAGGGACCGGGGCTAATCACAAATTACGTTCCCATGGTAACTGAGATAAACACGAGTGCGGACCGGTTGCTATAATGGTAGAGTGTATACAGATTTGTAAAATTAATGAAATTAGATCTGTCAAAATGAGTTTGACAGCGATTTATTATGTATTTTCCTCGGTTTTTCACTAACACGCTCTCACATATCCCACCAATACAACTGGACGTGAAAATCTCTAAAGAGATTGCTGCCGTTTATCGTACGCACACCGCACATCACGTATACGTATACGCAAAATGTTTTCTTCAGGAAAAAAAAACTTCATAATGGAAAATTTTCCTGACGAAAACAAATCACTGACACAATCACACTTTAGCTCGCACTTTAGCAATCTCTATAGCTTGAACCAGAGACGATGTTATATAAGAGACGCGTGGAGAGAATAAAAGTAAATCTGGTTGCACGGCCAACTAATTTCTTTTTCTGCAAGGTTTGGCAACCAGCAATTTTGTGTTTACTTCAAGTGACTTTTAATTTGAGCGACTGTCGTCTGCTTCAGCATCACAGTGAAATTAATACTTTTTTCACCGTATTGGTAGTACCGCTATTCAATTGAAGTATTTGAAGACTCCATTTTTAACAACTCTGAGAGAAACCAAATATACCACATTGAAGGGTATATTCTACAGAGCGTTGCTCAAAATTATTCAATCTACGATTGCTGCTTCCTATCATGTATGAGTGAAATCTCTTTTTAAGTCTTTCACAAATTTTACTATCTTGAAAAATTACACCGACAACGCCTTGATCTTTGTTACAGAGGCTGTGTAGATGTATTTCCACCGACAAACCGACATGAATGATCATACAAATTAAAAAGAAATTTCTGATCAAAGCACAAAACTGACATCTGCCGCCGTGTTCACGGAAAATATTTATCTTAGCCACGAACACACGTACAAAATTTATTAGTTGGTTCGTGTGTAATCTATTTCGGACAAATTATTTTTATCTAGATAAAATATTTCTATGGTTTTGACAGATGGGATCGCTGCACATTTGAATCAGCCGTTATGGATTATCGATCAAGAGTTAAGTTTAAGTTTCATGTCGGTTTGTCGGTGGTAAATATTTCGTTGTGCTGGAGCAAATATTTTGTGAGAAAATAACGAGAATACAATAATATCACCATAGAGGTAACTCTAAGACCACTGGGTCCCGAAGAAAATCATTATTATTTTTGGCTCACTCAGTACCAGAACAACGGTCCCAAGCAGTCCCAAGCTATTTCACTCACCCCTGCATGTTCTGCATGAATCCACACACCCCTGATGTTATCTGTCAAACTTTCATAGCGAATCAAAACAAACATAGTGTAGTAATAGAATTTCAACTAGAATAGGGTATGTTAATCGTTTGCTTGGGACAAATAGGCTACTAAAGTGGTGAGCCAATTTAAAATCGTTAGTTTCGTATTGATTGTTGGTTATACCTTGTACAGACATACAAAGTTCACTGTTGTACTACCGTTGTACTACTTTAAGCTAGTACCACAAATTGTACGTTTTGAGGTACTAGATTAAAGAAGTACAACGGTACTAACATAGAGTTAACTCTAAGACTAGAAGCATAAAGATAACTCTAAGACAAGTAGGTCCCGAAGAAACGTGCTCAACTTTTTGGCTCACCTCTGGTACTATCTTCGGTCCCAAGCTTGTCGAATCACCCCTTGAAACATAGGAAAAACCAATAACCCCTCATTTTATCTGTCAAACTTTCATAGCGAATCAAAACAAACATTGCGTAGTACTAGAATTTCGACTAGAATAGGGTACGTTAATCGTTTGCTTGGGACCAGTAGGCTACTAAAGTGGTGAGCCAATTTAAAATCGTTAGTTTTGTATTGATTGTTGCTAGAAGGTCCCGAAATAACGTGCTCAACTTTTTGGCTCAGCTCTGGTACTCTCTTCGGTCCCAAGCTAATCGATTCGCCCCTCGAAACATAAGAAAATCCACTAACCCCTCATTTTATCTGTCAAACTTTCATGGCGAATCAAAACAAACATTGTGTAGTAGTAGAATTTCGAATAGAATGGGGTACGTTAATCGTTTGCTTGGGACCAATAGGCTAGTCAAGTAGTGAGCCAATTTGAATTCGTTAGTTTCGTATTGATTGTTGGTACTAATTTGTATGTCGGTCTGTGGTATTAACCAGCGTCTAGCTGAAAATCTCCTTAATAAAGACAAACAACCTCAACAACTAAATTCAACCCCAATCTCAATACTTCGTGAAGCACTCGTGTTTATTTACATTGCTCGATTGGAACCGCGTTTGACGGTTTGATTTAAATTTTTGGCTTCAGTCTTCTTGCGCGTCTCTTATTATTTAACATCGTCTCTGTCTTGAACAATGCATTCAACTTCACTATGATTTTTATAAACCTTGGGCCGATCGAACTCCGACAAATAATATTCTCTCGCAAATATCATCAAGCGACCCCTCGGTCGTCAATTTCATCCGTCATCACCCCGCGCATCCTTGATTTGACAGCTCCGGTTGTGTGATCGAAAAGATCATCCGCGATTCCGCAATCTACCTCGAATTTTCCAGCTGCCCACAGATTGTCCGTGCAAGAAACCGGCGCGTTCTTTATTTATCCCAGTCGTTTTAAGTTAAATTTTGTGAAAATAGGAACCACTACCAGCATGGCCGTTACAAATGTAACCAGCGTTGATCAGTACAATAAGCTAATAGGGTAAGTCGTAAAGTGTTTTCTATGTCCGTCCAAATCACAACAATTGGCCATGGGTATCGTCCCGCAGATCATCATCAGTAACGGTTGTGTTGTTTTCCGCCGAATGGGCCGACCAGTGCAAACAGATCCTTTCGGTCATGTCCGAGATGGCAAAACAAACGACCTTCAGCGGGCTGCAGTTCCTGGATGTTCCGGCGGAGGACTTGTCCGAGGTGGCACTGAAACATCAAATCGATGCGGTCCCGACGGTGATCTTCTTCAAAGCCGGTACAGCGGTGGATCGAATCGACGGAGTGGACATTGCTGCGCTGACGATCAAGTGTCGCAAGTTGGCCGGTTCCGTGGCTGATGCGCCTGCCGCGGCCACTTTGGAGGATAGACTGAAGGCACTGATAAACCGCTCCAACGTGATGATATTCATAAAGGGTGACCGGAATACACCCCGCTGTGGATTCTCCAAGCAGCTGATAGCGATCATGAACGAGACGGGGTTTGTTGGCATGAATCTGTGCGAGGAATGAACGTTGATTTGAATTTCAAATTTCGTCTCTTTTGTTTGTTAGGGTGCAGTACGATACGTTCGATATTCTCACCGACGAAGAGGTTCGGCAGGGCCTGAAGACCTACTCGGATTGGCCTACTTATCCGCAGGTTTACGTCAAAGGTGAGCTGATCGGTGGACTCGATATCATCAAGGAGCTGCTAACCGGAGGAGAACTCAACGCGACTCTGGATGCTTAATAATTGATGCTGTGGGACGCCGGAAGTATTCCTTTCCCCCCAAAGGGACAAAAGAGTGAGGTAAAGCTTGTTTTTTTTTTCTCTTAGTCTTCGTTCATATGTTGATAAGCAACAACACATGGGACATGGAAATTATTAGAATTGGATGAGTGCACATTTTGAGTTTTCGAGATTATAGTTTTTTGGTTTCGAGTGACTTTCTTCGAAAGCCTTGCCTTATCGCATTATTCCTCGATTGTTGGGTGCTGTGACAAATTCTTGATTTAATGTGAGTGATGTAACTGTTTGGGTCTAACGCAGTGATGTTTCTGCGGAAGCGTGCCATATTCGATTTATTTCTTTTAAGCTATCTTGGTCGATTTCAACTTTTGCAATTCGCTCGTCTACCAAGGAAAGTCGATGAACAGAGCAGTGTCCTGAGCACATACAAAACAGAAGTCCCAGCTACGTAGTTAATTTGAACTAGCGTTGCTACACTATTATAGGAAGCAATTTTGTTTAGTTATATAATTATTCACTTCATCGGTCTTATGTTGTCTAAATAAAGGACTTATCTGGAAAAGCCTTTTTGGAAAATAGGTGTAAAACTTCATATATTTGCAAAATAGAAAGACGAAGCACACAAAAGAAAAAGAACAATAATTGCAAAAATACAAAACGTAATACGTAATTTCAAAATTTATTTCGATACAAGGTTAGATCATAGATTTTGCCATGTATGTGAATATGTGAATGTAAATAAAACCATGAAAAACTATTTCAAATTTTATTTAGGCCCTAGCGCCAAAAATTGGAGCACTAGTGCCAAAATTGGCACACTTACCCTACAAAAAATAATAATCAGGTCTGAAGCATAAACAATTCTTATCGTCCTCTGGCATAGAGTTGTCCGTGGATCAGCCAAGTCGAAATCGTCGTCGCAGAGTTGACAGGGAACAAACTCCTATCTCGGTGTTTCCTTCAATATCGAGAAATGGAAAGTTGACTAGTTAGTATTTATTTATGTTATTATTTTATCTGGAAAGTTTTGTGATATAGTTATGCCAAACAGCGTTCACCCTATCCATTTAATCGGAAGAATTTTGCTGCTCTATGGTATAGGAAAAATACATTTTAATTTTTAACTATATTATGTATCGTATTCCCCTCTCGTAGGCCAATCTTAAGCAAGTCCAGAGGCTTCACGAACCAAAACAAAAAAAAAAACAAATGGTGCAAGCGACTTAATCAATTGGGTGGAATTTTGGCATGTCATTTCTACACCATAGAAGATTTTTGTCAAAATTAAGCTGCTTCTCAGGTTCATGTTTGTGTTTCGATTACTGATGGACTGGCCTCGATCATTAGTTTGCAGTAAGCAAGTTCTCTTTTTTAGATCGGCTCTTAGCTGTTCAAAGTGGTGATTAAGCGAAAGATGTCGATCGAGATACACCCCAAGTATTTTAACGACTTTTCAGTACAGGATACGCACGTTGTCCACCGTAACTTCACTTGACTAAGGGATATGTCTATGGTTAAATATATGGGCGATAGAGCATTTCTCTGCTGCCATTTCAAATCCGCTAGAGTTAGCACATCTAGCAACTGCTCTAATAGCAGCTTGCAGTTTAATACGGGCTCGGGTAGCATTTGTGTCCACAACGTCTAAGACTATATCGTCTGTAACTTGGAAAGTACGATCGGACAAAAAGGATTGGATGAACTTTGGTAAGCCACCATTAATCCACAATCCTTAAGCTGGCGGAGAACGCCTTCATGCCACACCCGATTGTAGCTTTTGATAGATCGAGAGTCGCTATGTCGATGTGCATATTTTCACTCATAGCTTGGTCGAGTGCACTTCCTAGGTCCGCCAAGTATGTTGATGGTCCACGACCTCGGCGAAAAGCATGCTGACCGGGATTCAGGAGGTTTTTTTTCTCTTCAAGGTTCACCATTCGTTCCATAATTTTTCCGTTGCAGCTAGTTGGCTGAGCTGATTGGACAAAAATCACGCGATTCTTTGGATCTTGCTCCGGCTTTTGCAATTGGGATAACGGTACTATGTCTCCATTCTTCCGGGAAGAATCCGGTGATCCAAAGCTGATTATAGCTGTCGCTGCTCTTGTGCTTGAAGTTCTTGGTATGTGTTCCTTGGCCGTAGCGGTAATGATCTTTCCCAACTCCACGGCTGTGTATTCACGATCGATAAATATGCGACTGTCGATATCTACCTCGAAAACTGACCCATTTGCACGATCGAATAACCAGCGTCGTCTTCGTTCTGTACTTGGAGGGCTGTTATTCCCGAGAATATCGATAGGGTAATGATCGCTACCAGCTGGGTCGTGATAAACATGCCAACGGAGTTGACCCATAATATTACTCGAACATAGTGATAAATCTATAGCTACGTTCCTCTGTGCACTGGTGTAGGTGTCGCTCCAATCGTTCAGAATTATGAGATCGTATTTTTCGCCAATTATGAATGATAGCCTTACCCCTCGGGTCATCACGGAGAGACCCCAAGCTACATGATGCGCTTTCAAGTCGACTAGAATCAGGAAAGGAGGTTCTAAGTGGGAGATTAAATGGTCTAAATCAGCTCTCAACTTCCAAAAAGAACAGATGCGTGTATCGACTTTGTCTGCGAAAGCCACTAGCCGGCTATTTTGGATTATTTTTCAAATTAAAAGTACGTATCCGTGAGTGAGTGATCGCCGTGAGTTTCCTGACGCATTTTGCCGCTATCGCGTGCCAATGTCCGCGATAATACCATAGAGGTAACTCTAAGACCACTGGGTCCCGAAGAAAATCATTATTATTTTTGGCTCACTCAGTACCAGAACAACAGTCCCAAGCGGTCCCAAGCTATTTCACTCACCCCTGCATGTTCTGCATGAATCCACACACCCCTGATGTTATCTGTCAAACTTTCATAGCGAATCAAAACAAACATAGTGTAGTAATAGAATTTCAACTAGAATAGGGTACGTTAATCGTTTGCTTGGGACCAATAGGCTACTAAAGTGGTGAGCCAATTTAAAATCGTTAGTTTCGTATTGATTGTTGATAATACGCCGCGAAAACACATTTCGCATCGACTATGCGAATGTGCCGAAGAATCCATCGTACGAGGAGGTCCACCAGTTCGTTGGAGAGACGCTGGGCATGAAACGAGAAGAGGTTTTGCGGATTCAATACAGCCGCAACACCGGAGTTGCCTTTTTTAAAGCCGCGTGCCTCGAAATGTCGCAAAAAGTCGTCGAGGGAAACGACAACATGCACGAGCTGACAGTCGATGGGAAGTCTTACAAATTACGATTGGTGATGGAGGATAGAGCGCTGGTAGTGAGGCTCTTTAATCTGTCAGAACACGTCACGATCGAGAAAATAACAAAGTTTCTCAGCGCGTACGGGGAGATACCATAGAGGTAACTCTAAGACTAGAAGGTCCAGAAGAAACGTACTCAACTTTTTGGCTCAGCTCTGGTACTCTCTTCGGCCCAAGCTAATCGATGCACCCCTGGAAACATAGGAAAATCCACGAACCCCTCATTTTATCTGTCAAACTTTCATAGCAAATCAAAACAAACATAGTGTAGTAATAGAATTTCGTCTTGAATGGGGTACGTTAATCGTTTGCTTGGGACCAATAGGCTACACAGCAAAAAAAAAGTAATATCGATCAACGTAATTCAAGCTGATGTATGAAATAATGATGTAATAGCAAAAAGCAGATACAATATTACATCAATGGATGTAATTTTGTTCGCAAAATCGATGTACAACGTACAATGTGATATTACGCAACCGATGGATTGACCTGGTTGCAGCAGTTTCGATGTAGTATTCAACAACTTTTTTTGCTGTGTAGTCAAGTAGTGAGCCAATTTAAAATCGATAGTTTCGTATTGATTGTTGGTATTACCACAAACGAAGTTACAGACGACTTTCTCCGAAGAAATTAATTAAAATACAGTGGTGACCCGATTTTGTCAGCCTATATGATTCAATTAGTTTTGGTTGAGGTGGACTGTTTTGTACAGTCGTATTCGTATTTTATTGATTGTCTAGCTCAATAATGACATTTTTCGAGAATTAAATGTGCAGTGGTGGCAAAATCAAAGCAGGGGAAGGGAGTTGAGGGGCTAGTTGAAAATTATGTACGTTATGCATGTGTTTTTTGTTTTCTTTTTTTTTTTATAGTAAGGTTTAGGAAACCTTCAAGAAGCCTGGCCTGTAGTGAAGTTGGCACGGTGTGGTATCCACTAGTTGCCTAGTACAGCTCCACTAAAACCCATTCCTTACTCTCTCCTCTGCCTGGATCCCCCCGGGATCACTGTAAAGCGACTACTTCGAGGGGTGGCTGTGCTCATGCACTTGTCGTACTCTCAGCACTAGCTGGCGTTGCTAGATCGCTGCTCTTCTCTCCATTTAGGCTGCAGCTCCGACATAATCTACGTGACTGCCCTGCTGACGGCATTCCAAGTGTCCTCCTCTCGACACAATCAACGACGACATTCTCCACGTTAAGGACGGGCATCTCCGTTCGCACTGCCTCGAACCTTGGACAGTCGAAGACCACATGCTCCGGCGTTTCATCGACGTTGCCACACTCCGGACAAAGGGGTGACGCTGCGTGTCCGAACCGATGCAGGTATTTCCTGAAGCAGCCGTGGCCAGACAGGAACTGCGTTAGGTGGAAATTGACTTCTCCGTGTTTTCTGTTCACCCAGGTCGAAAGAATCGGTATTAGTCTTTGTGTCCATCTACCGTTCTCCGTCGTGTTCCACTCCTGTTGCCACTTAGCCAATGACTCCACTCTCACAACTTTCCGTACTCTTCCGGCTTCTCTCCGCCTGTAGCACTCGCTGTCCTCCGCCAGGGTGATGCCGATTGGGATCATACCGGCGATAACGCATACTGCTTCCGACGAGATGGTTCTGTACGCACTCACGACTCGCATGGCCATGAGCCGGAACGTACTGCTCAGTTTCCTTTGGTTCTGCTTCGTTTCCAGCGCTGGAACCCAGGCTGGACCTCTATATCTCAGTATCGATGATGACACGCTGGCCAGAGACGCCTATTGCTACTGCTGGGACCAGCGTTGTTTGGCATGATTCTAGCTATCGCGTTGATGGCCTTCGAAGCCTTCTCACAGGCATATTCGACGTGGCTGTTGAAGTTTAGCCG